ATCCCCAAACCCCAAACCCCAAACCCCAAACCCCAAACCCCAAACCCCAAACCCCAAACCCCAAACCCCAAACCCCAAACCCCAAACCCCAAACCCCAAACCCCAAACCCCAAACCCTGACCCCTAAACCCTACACCCTAAACTTTAAACCCTAAACCCTATTTTACCCTAAACCCTAAACCCTGGTTGTTCCGTTCTTGGCATTGTGAGTGTCTTACCGAGCAGGCCTTTCGAGAGCAAGCGGACGAGCTCACAGGCAGCGATGCGACACTCCCCCCTGGTTCTTAGTGGGAATAAGGGAATTCGGGCCCTATATATACCCTTGAAGGGATTATATATAGGGTACTGTACCTCCTGTATACCCTTTAAGGGATTATGTAGGGTACCTTCTATATACCCTTTAAGGGATTATAAAAAGGGCCCTATATGTCATACCCTTTAAGGGATTATAGGGTACCTCATTCCCCCATTCCCTACTAAGAACCCGCCAGACTCTTCCGTCCTTGTTCCGCCCTCTGTGCGACGCCGAGGCAAAGAGCCGTGACATGAACCTGCCTAGAGGGACGGCGCTCCTCTGGAAAAGAGCCGCGTCAGGGATGGAACATGGCCAACGTGCGGACATGACATGGCCTCTACATGCCACTCCACATCATTTGGGATGGCAGGTGTGTGACTTTGCAGACGGCGCACAGCTGGTTAGACGGTGCGAGGCGGGGGTTTTCAGGATTTGACAGGGAGGCCTGGGCAGAGAGGCCCGGTGCTGTTCCCTTTTGTTGTGGTGCACTCAGTTGCTCAGCAGTGTGCTTGCAGGACCTGGAGAACGAAGAGCCGATCTCCCCACTCCTCATCCAAGCCGTCTGCTACCCAGGCATAGCTTGGCGATAGAATGGCGACGGAGTCGAGGCTTCCCGAAAGCCCTAAGCCCGCCCCGCCTTGCCCCATCCCAACGGCAGGGAAAAGAGACCGGAAAAGAACCTTGAAACCCTTGGACACAGATCACGATCAACCCCACCCCTGGCGTGCAAGGACATGGACGAGCGTCAGCTCGATGGCGAGGCGGAAGTTGGCGAGTGGAAGTGCCCCTGCCCCCCCCCTCCCCCCGCGAATGTGTATCCGTAGCCTTCTTGCGTAGTGTGTTTACCCGTACGCTCCAACAACGCCCGGCTAGGGTTTGTGTCATGTTGCTCCGCCCTCAGAAGTAGGCCCGTTTTGGTTTGGCGCCTCCCTCAGAAGTAAGAGGGCACGCGGTTGGTTGGAAATATATGATAGCATCGTTTTGCCAACTAGCGGCTCTTGAGAGGTACATGGTCTTGGACCCGAAAGGGGTCACGCTCCGAAGTCGTCCCACGCATTGAGCTCAGATATGCCAAGACATGGACCCTAAACTCTAAACTCTAAACCCTAAACCCTAGACCCTAAACCCTAAACCCTAAACCCTAAACCCTGCTAGTGGTCATTCGTGGCCGAGGTATGACAAGGCCTCCAAGTTGAAAGCCCGGCTGGAGGAAGGAGAGGCAAGGTCAAAGTCAAGGATAAGGTCTGTATCGTCTGTATCGTCTTCACTAATGATACTTATGAATAATGATAGTACTCATAATACTAAACATAATCATAATAATAGTAAAATAATAACAATGATGAAAATATTAAAATGATAGTAATACTAAGAAAATAACAACAACAATAATAATACTCATAAATAATAATCATAATGATGATGATGACAATAATAATTATAAAATAACAACAGTGATAGTCTGTGTTTTATCGTGAAAGCTTTGCAGTTTGCATGTGGAGGTGGTGGAAGTTCTCGAGCGGCTGGAAGGCGCAGACACGGAAGTGGCCTGAGGAGACACTTGTAGCCTGCGCGCTCGTGCGTAGCTTGTGCGTGTTGTACTTGTACGAGTCATACGCAGCAATCTCCCTAAACCCTAAACCTTAAACCCTAAACCCTAAACCCTAAGCCCCAAACCCGAACCCCTAAACCCCAAACCCTGAACCCTAAACCCTAAACCCCAAATCCTCCGATGGACCCTAGGTCTTCCTGCGAGTGGAGGGGCGGGACGGGCCTTGCAGCCGAGCTTGCAGACGTCGGAGATTGGCATGACATCACATCTGCGCTCCTCCCAACCCCCTAAACCCTAAACCCTAAACCCTAAACCCTAAACCCTAAACCCTAAACCCTAAACCCTAAACCCTAAACCCTAAACCCTAAACCCTAAACCCCAAACCCCAAACCCCAAACCCTAAACCCTAAACCCTAAACCCTAAACCCTAAACCCTAAACCCCCCCCAAGGTCGACTGGCTGGGTATTTACGACCCAACCAGGGCCTGCGCCCTTCCTGAGGCGGCTGGGAAGCGTGATGCGGGCGGAGCATGGCTTTGCAAGCTGTGGCATACTGCGACATCCGTCAGGCTTGTGGAAGTAGAGGTCAAGAAGTGCAGCTTGTGCTCCCCATTGAGCACGATACCACGTCGGTGACATGTGGGGAGTCGGGCAATCCTCCCTAAACCCTAAACCCCGAAACCCTCAACCCTAAACCCTAAACCCTCTAACTGTTGCTGCTTGCAGCCTGAGCTTTTGTGTGTCGAGCTCTGAGTTCGCAGGTACTTTCAGGTGGTGTCTACGCGTGGCTGCCCCTTGCGGAGCCGCTGCTCACTGGCCGAGGCCGCGAAGGCGAGCTCGGCGAGTTGGGAGTCTTTAATAATAATAATAATAATAATAATAATAATAATAACAATGATAATAATAATTATTATTAGTATTAGCTCGATTATTGTTATGATTATTGTCATCATGTTTTTTATTGTTATTATTATTAGTAGTACTATGACTATAAGCTGCAGGTTAGGATAGATGACGAAGATTCGTGTCTGGAGGTCGGAAAGGTCGAAACCGGGCAGCTGCTGCGCATCACCGCCCGTGTGGAGGCAACCTCGAAAGAATCCAGGAACCCTAAACCCTAAACCCTAAACCCTAAAACCCTAAACCCTAAACACAAAAACCCTAAACCCTAAACCCTAAACGGCCGACTTTCCGAACTGTGGCAGGTGGGAGGGACACACTGCTTCGGCCTCGAGAGCGGCGAGTGGGTCGTGTGTCCCAAGGCAGAGCGATTGCGCTTGAGACACTGTGAGCTTGCCCAAAGTTTATATTCATATTATTGATATTGTTATGAATAAATATTTTGAGTATTATTTATATTGTTATTCGGATTATATCTGAAGTTGCCTTCCTAAGTGTGATGGAAAACTGCAACCAGGACTTTGAGGCACCTTTGAGCGGCCCTCTAGAAGTGCGAAAGATGCACAACGAGGAGGCAGTTGCGTCCTCGGTCGTGCGACTTTCATGGATAGCAGATGTCCGAGACAGCCATGGGTTGCGCTGAGGAGGTCCAGGCTGAGGAGAGTGTGATGCTCCGCAAGCAGCCGACGGACCTTGCGTGGGCCGCCACGAAGAAGGCCTGGGACCTGACCCAGTGGCAAAGATGGGCCGCCTTCTATTTCACGATTTTTGCATTGTTTTTGGTAGGACGCGTGCGCGAGCGTCGTGCGTTTCAGAGGGGTTTCCCGTTGGAAGGTAAACCTTCCAAGACTAGTCAAACCCTCCCACCTTACACCCAAGCCGCTGCTGTAAATATTGCAACCCCACGCTCAGCACTTCTCAGAAAAAACCTTCTCCCTTAGGTAACGCTTAATGTTGTAACCTCTTTAGTGTGGGGGCCTTCCCCCCCCCCTCCCCCCTGAACAGTCGAGGCTGGATTTGCTCCTGTTTAAACGCTCCCGCGGGTTTATATGATTTTCGTAGCGAGGAGTTTAAAAGGGGCAGCGATGCCCGGCAATATTCACATACATGGCCCCAAACGCATGGCGCCTAAACGCATGGCGCACGAGCGCGCGCCCTACCTTGTCTTTTTTCTGCATGTACCCTTTGTTGTGGCTGACGCGGGTGGCCAAGGAAATGCATGTGTCAGAAAAGCGGTTGGCTGCCGTGCGACATGGGGGTTTCCGCACATAGGGGGTACCCTATTGGGGGATCCTTCTTATAAGGGAATCCTTATTGGGGGTCCTTATTATAAGGGAATCCTACTCTTTGGGGATCCTTATTAAAAGAGAATCCTACTCTTTGGGGATCCTGATTATAAGGGAATCCTACTCTTTGGGGGTCTATATTCGGGCCCCCAAACATCCCGTGACAGGTTCTGCTTCCCAAGTCCAAGGTGCTGGCGATCCGGAGGGTACCGGATCCCAGCATCCGGGGGTGTCGGTTGGGATGTTCCCCTTAGTGGGGATTCTAACAGGGGATATAGAATCCCTGTTAAGGACTGTGATAGTATGAGGGGGGAACTGTTGGTGTGGAGTGGTGCGTGGGTGACATGTCTGAGGCCTACGTGCAGGGGGAGATGTGGATGGAGGTCATGCAACTGGGCGGAATGTCTGGATGGGCCCTGCCGGCATGCTAGAAGGGCTTAGGGTTTAGGGTTTAGGGTTCAGGGTCTAGGGTTTGGGGTTTAGGGTTTAGGGGGTTGTTTCGTTTCACAGTTGTTGCCAATGACTGTCGCCAGATGCCTGCTGCGGACCTACAGCTCGAGTTCTCGGTCTCCGACCAGCCTCGACGCAGTCGCTGATGCGGAGGTTCCTTCCCAGTAGGATTCTTTGTAGCCTGCTCGGCCTGAGGAGGTCCAAGCGGATGGAGCGCAGAAGGGTGCAGAAGTGGCATGCGACTGCGGATGCATCTGGATATTTGTGTCTCTGGCGACGGGTTACTCCGAAGGAGCACCGACGCCTTCTTTTTCCCAAATCCCCGCTAACGACGTCCTGCGACCAGCTGAACTTGCTGGCCACAGTGAGGGAGCACCTCACTCTGTTAACGAGCGCGTTACAAAACGGAGCCTTTTGACACTGGCAGGTTTCTATATGTCTCTGTACTCAACCTATGTCTGACCTCCCTGTTAATGGTAGATGATACAGCAGGCGCTGTGCATGAACTTTGAATGAGGTATGCGCCAGAGGCTGCGTATGGTTCATCCCTGAAGGGATTCTGGACTTCGGATACGTGTGCACCTCAGGCCCTTGGCCCTCTGACAGGCGTCCATTGGGATGTTCCCCCTTATACTGACAGTCCTTAATTGGGATTACAATAGCGGGTACTCTAATCCGTAGAAAGGACTGTTAGTAAAAGGGGGAACTTACCAAAGCATGACATGTTGCGAGCAAAGGTGCGATGCCAGTCGCGCAGCCACTCCGTGCATGGGTCCAGAGAAGTTCATCGAAGTGTCATCCTCTGTGTGCATTCAGGGGTTTTCGAAATTAGGGGTACCTTACTAGGGGTCCTTATTACTATTTGGGGGTCTATATTAGGGTTCCCCCCCATATTCGTAAAGTCCCATGTGGCTGACAACTTAAGACGACAAAGTGGAGCCATTTCCGTGCCAAGGTTGTTTTCAGCACAGATGTGGACCTCAAAAGAGTCCGGCTGGTCCAGGCAGCTTCAGATCATCCACAGGACAGAGGGCTTCTTGACATGACCGGAATTTAGTAAATTGTTCTCTTCAAAAAACGGCCGCGCAGTTTTGCCGAGGACTTCCTTCGGAATGGAACTCTGGAGGTGGGGAAGTGGCTCCGTGCACGGGGTGCCGTGGCCCCAGGTTCCCCAGGTTGCGTGCGCGGCGCAGAGCGCGGCGCATGGTCCGTTGCTCTCGCAGGTCTCTCGTCTCTCGCAGGTCTCTTGCATGTTCTTGCGTCCCAAGGCTGCCGACCAGCCGCACTGCGAATCCTACCAGGTCATAGCTCCGGTTACACAGCGGGAGGCACCGCGGGTATCATGAAGGATCGAGGAAGAAGTTGCTGCAGCAGCTTTCCAAGTCAAAAAGCATCCTCGTTTCTTGAGGCCATTTGGTCGGGCGTGCTATCTCAGCCAGTCCGCTGCCTTCGCGTCAGGCCTCAGAAGTGCACGGGTGCCTGCGGATTGCACAATTTGGAGAAGGGGGGAGTGAATGTGCAGGATGCTCGCTGCCCAGAAGGCCAAGAGAGCTTGCTTCGTGTGATCACGCCTGCCTCGGGGCCTGTCGGGTTGTGACTGGATCCGCAGAGAGAGCAGACTATGGAGGAGTGGATCATGCTGAAGTTTGCTGAAGTTGTCAGCGAGGCAGGGAGATGGGCTCTCTGCTCCCCAGCGCTATAATGACCGGGCCGATGAGCGGGTTCTCCTGAGTGACTTTAGGGGCATTTTTCAGCTTTAATCGCAACTGAGGTTTCCGAAATTCGGGATACCTTAATGGGGTCCTGATTATATACGGGAGTCCTACTAGTTGGGTGGCCATTATAGGGGTCCTTTATTTTCCTCAACTCCCACAAGAATGCAAGGCACGAAGGACGGTCCCGTTGTTGGGTGCGAGAGGAGAAGAACTGCGTCGGATGTAGACAGTGTGCGCCTGCCTCCAATTGCCTTCCCAAGTGTGACAGAAAAGACAAACAGGACACGACGATTCTGAGGGATATCACAAGACAAAGGGATCTTCGCGGTGCCGCGCAAGCTATTTGTGCCGTGGAGAATCCTCGATAGGGGGCCTGTTAAAGCTCTCGCTGGTTTGAGTGGTTGGGCGGGGTGCCCTTGGATGGACAATTGGAGAGTTTGCCGCTAGAGAGATGGAGCGCGGCGCAAACGACATTTCAGACAGACTCTGGTTGACGATGCAGATGTTGAACCACTACGTGCCGCGCTGGCGGAGACTTGTTGTTTTTGTATGCTGGAAACTGGGATGCGGTCTCGGTTGACGAGCATGGCCAGCTGGAAGGGGTTGTTGCTCGGGCCTTTGCGCTTCTGGGGGAGGGGGGGGTGATGGGGTGTGGGGGGTGGGCAATGGCAAGGGCAGCAGCCGAAGAACAACTGACACCAGATCAAGGAGCTGTAGTGCTCTGCGCCAGGACCATAGGTGACCTCGGGGACGCCCCTCCTCCTTGACACCATAACTCGCCTAGAGCGCATCCCGAGCAGATCCTCAACTTGCCACTGGGACTTGCAGATGAGTTCTCAAGCCTCAAGCAGAGCTTGCAGGCCTGACGATTCCGGCGATTGCAGTATGCGATTGGCCGTGAAATACTACCATGCTACAAACGGGGTCGGGAAATATGTGGCCGTGCAACAGTTCATTCAGCGAACGAATGCAGTGGTCTGCAGTATGTTGCAATATTTTGGTTGCCCACTGGCAGGTAGGGCCCAGGCCTGCGACCACCCAAGCAGCCATGCAGGTGCGGGCTGCTCGTGTGCAATAGTTTGGAACATCTTGGCCTTGCAGTGTGCAAGGCCGTGCCTCCACGCAAGGAAGTCGAAGTGCCAACAGTCCCAGCCGCGCGGGCTGACCCGACACTGCTTGAGGAAACGGAGGATCCCACCACCACCGCCACCATGGACCGGCCCGAAACGGAGGGACCGGAAAAACCGGAAGGATCGGAGGGACTGGAGGCAATGGTATGGAATCCAGGGAGCTCTGGGACTGGGCAGCCGGGCCCTCGGCCGAGTGGAGCGTGGAGCCGTGTGATTTCTGTGTCTCCTGTGTGACACCAGGACCAATCAACCTCAAACCGTCTCAAAATCGTAGGCGTTCAGCTTGAGCAAGGCATGCCCTAGGTGGGCAACTAGACATAGCTAGACCATACATCTGCATTGAGTGAGAAGCTTGAAAACAAGTGAGAGGAGGGTGGGGTGACAGGAGTGTTAAACTGTAGCCCTAAGCCTTGGAGGGAGTGGGAAGCGATACATGCGGTTTGCAAACCGGAGACGAATGAGGCCCACTTGGGAAGTGGTGACGAAAATCTCGCCCACAACCCCTTATGGGGAGGACGCTGGTGACACGGACTCGAGCACACGGACCGAGCACACGGCGCTAGCCTCCTTTGACTACGCCTCTGCAAGCCAACCGTTTTGCACGTCATTGTACATCCGACTTGTTGCAGGGTCACTTCGTGAGCGTGCGTGCGAAGGAAGCGTGCATGCGAAGGAAGCGTGCGAACGAAGCGTGCGAACGAAGCGTGCGAAGGCCACCACAAACATGGGGAGATCTGAGCCGTCCGTGGGAAGAGGGAACGCGTGAAACCAGTGAAACCGCGCATACAAGGGGTTGAGCGAGCCTGAGCCTGTAAGCAGAACTCGTGATCGAATCATCATGCTGGCGTAGGCCCATAAAGGTGCAAGCGAGATATCCTTGTGCACTTCCAGGCCAGAAAGCTCGTCCTCCACGTACCAGCCACCTCTACCTCTGGCCCGGTTGAACGTGGCTCGATTGCAGCTTCGAACCGCTCACTCATTCGTACTACATTCGATGATGCTTTCGTTACAGGCCTGAATTCAGCTAATTGAGTAGCTGTAGAACGAGTAGACCTCAGTATTCGGCTGAGGCGATCGTCCGCAGTGTGGAGGCTCATGTTGAGGCTCATGTTGAGGCTCATGTTGACGCTGCGAAAGAGCAGCAAACAGCGAGCAGCTGACAGGAGCCAGATCAGGACACCCTGGCAGGCATGCTGGCATTTTCTGCGCCTAGCTGAGCTGGGTCATGTATGGCCATGGGTGCATGCAAATCCTTGCAATTGTGATTCCCATGATCCTGGCACTGACAAGGTGGGACTGTTGGCAGGAATCGTAGGCACGGTACACTGCGCAGACTCAGTGCTTGCCGAAGCTGTGCGCGCCGGAAAAGGCTGGGCGAATGTCTTCCTCTGCCAAACGCTCTCGTTGCCGGGAGTGCACTTGGTGGGCAGGCTGCAAGGGGGCATTCTGTCAGAACGTTTGGGGGTGTACGAAAATAGGGGACCCCTAATCTAGACCCTCAACTAGTAGGATCCCCTTACAAGAAGGACCCGAATAAGGGTACCCCCCATATCGTAAACCCCCATCTCTGAAGCTCAACGGCTGGAAGCTGGGTGCACCCACACGCGCCAGGCTCCCCTGCTGGATGGCATCCTTCGTGCCTGCCCGGGAGCTCGGGGTGTCGGGGCGGACAGCAGCCGTCGGCTCGGTTGGCTGGGACCAACCCTGCCATATGGCGGTTTCCGAAGTTAGGGGTACCTTTTTGGGGTCCTTATAACAAAAAGGGGATCCTATTATTTGGGGTTTGATATTGGGGGTCCCCCACTTTCGCAGACCCCCACAGCATGTGCAATACTGTGGGGGGTGGGGGTGGGGGGGGGGGTTAACTCGCATCGCTCTGTGCAAAAATGCACATCGCTCGGCGTCCACATTAGGGTCTTGCAGTTCCGAGTACGGCCCGGCAGTCTAGAAGCTGCTCCAACTTCTAGACGAAGCATCCACAATGGGGTCTTGCATGCAAACTGCCCAATTCCATTCGTCGTCCCCCACATTGCGGCTCTACACTGGGGTTTTGCGCTTGTGCTGGTACGTCAATCTGGCATAAGCTCTGGCAGCAACTCTCGAAGGACACACTCGATGTTGATCCATATGCCTTGGCAGAATTGAGCCTTCTAGGTTCTTTGTATATACACCGTATCTCGGAAATGTCCTGCCAACCGCGCGTCCATGTTGCGTGAAGCGCCTGTGGCAAACGCTGTTGGGGTCTTGGGGTTTCGGTATCTCGTGATATGTATTTGCACGGCCTGAAGTGATTTAATTAGCCGCCTACCCTGCAAGAAGATGCAAGCAGCAAACAGATTCAAACAGATTCAAAGCTCCCAGGCAATCGACTCCATGCTGTATCTGTCCATGGACGCACCGAACGCCGGAAGCTCGGAGAAGCTTGGAAGCCCCCGAGCTTGCACTGTTCCAAGCGAGTGGCAAATCGAAGCGCCCTTGAGGTGGATTGCAAGTTCCAGGCGAGTCTGCTGCCTTCTAATTATTTTGGAAGTTTGCGAAAAGAGGGGACCCCTAGAACAGAGCCCCAAATAGTAGGATCCCTTTAAACTAAAGAACCCCAAGAAGGTACCCCGAAGATCGTAAGCCCGCGTTTGTCTCCTCCATTCGTGCCTCCGGAAGTGGGAAGGAGCGCAAGCTGGCTCGCCAACATGACAAGGTTCCGGCTTCTGTGAAGAAAGGGGCGGGGTTGTGGGGTTGTGGGGTTTAGGATTTAGGGTTTAGGAGATGCAGCCTGATGCAGCACAGTTGTCCCTTCACACCACTTCACGCTTCAGCAAGACTCGCACTGCGCACCGATACAGAGCTTCCTGAGCCCTTGGTGCCTTTTCGTTTCTTTTCGCCTTCCGCGGCCCGCGTTGTGGAGTGTATTGACGTACGCGTAGTACGCCACGCGTCTTCTTGCGCCCCTTCGCCTGGCCCTGTGTGTTCCTGCACGTTGACAGAAGTCAAAATGGCACCCTATGGATATAGCATGTTATGGCGCCCTCAGCCTCAGCATGCCGGTGTCTTCTGTACACTCAGTGAGTTCGCATCCCGGGCCTGCCCTCTCCAAGGCTCTCCAAGGGCCTTTGAGTTGCCAACTACTGAACTCATGACGACAGCGGCAGCCAAGGGATACCTAGAACAATCACAGCATCATCAAAGAGATTGAACCAGTAGAAGTTGGTGAACCATGCATCAAGAGCTGAGCTCAGGGAAGCTCAAGCTCTGACATTCTGAGGTCGGACAAGACCTCGTAGATCAGAAAAGGTTTTCCATTTTGTCTGTTTCCAACTCTTTCCAGCTGTTTCCAACTAAGGCATGTCAAGCAGGGCCTGCATGCTCTCCATGGCACAAGTTGTGATGATGTTTGTCATTCTGCCACCATGCAGCCAGACCCGGGAAGGCGATGTTTGGTGAGTTCCATGCCCTTTTGAAACGCAGTGAGCCTTGCTTGTGGTGTTCTGTTCCAGGGAGCACTGCGGGTAGAGCTGCTGGGGTACATACCCTAAACCCTAAACCCCAAACCCTAAAACCCTAAACCCTCAACCCGAAACCCTAAACCCCAAACCCTAAACCCGAAACCCTAAACTCTAAACCCTAAACCCTAAACCCTAAACCCTAAACCCTAAACCCTAAACGCCAGATGCAAGCTGGCGGATGGCCTTGGTGGAGCAGCGTGCCCGTCGAGCTACACCAGGCACATCACAGCTTCTGGACAAGTCTGAGTGCGCTCTCTACCAAGTCCACTACATCTGCTTAGTCTGCTAACTGCTATTAACCTAAACCCTAAACCCTAAACCCTAAACCCAAAACCCTAAACCCTAAACCCCAAATCCCGAAACATCCTTTTCTTTTTCTCCCAATGTCAGCTGGCAGGCGGAGCAGGCTCCGGCTCGGCGGCTGGGGGCTGGAGCTCGCAGTTCCCCGTCCTGAATCTACTATGTGCTTAAGAATCCCCCAAAAAATCAAGAAATAGTCCCTATATCACCCTTATAAGGAAGAACATAATCATCCCTATATGAAACCCTTACAAGGAAGAATATTTTTCATTTTTTTGGGTGGTTCTTAAGCAAGTAGTAGTAATCCTTCTCCTTGAAGTTTTCGGGGCCTTTAGGCTGGAGGGTGCAGGGCCCCGAATGACTCTGGGACTATACACCTTCAACCTACCTAACCTCATGGCCAAAGGAACTACACGAAGATGCAGTCATAATATTCCTGAGCCAGGACAGAGGCTCAAGTTATCTCGAACCTCTCGAAAGTTACGCCGAAGCCGAAGAGACATACGGATCACGCCAAGATGCAGCTGCCAGTTTAAGGGCCCTGGTGCAACGCAACCTCCCCAAGAGCAGCACTTGTTCCGATCCGAGATGGGGCCCGAAATCTCGCGATCTCCCAAGGTGTCCCAAGCCGGCTACAGTTTAGGGTTTAGGGTTTAGGGTTTAGGGTTGAGGGTTGAGGGTTGAGGGTTTAGGGTGGCAATACCGAGGCTGGGAAGAAGTGCAGTCACCGGCGAGGCAAGATGACTCTGGCAAGCACAGTCTCGATCCTTACCATCACTTTGCCAAAGAAGCCGTTGTGAGTGACTAAAGCCTATACAACGAGCTGTTAAAACCCTAAACCCTATACCCTCAACCCTAAACCCTATATGAAAAACAGCTGCAGCTGCAGAGAGATCAGTGTGTTCTGCGCAGGCGCGTGGACTCTTCAAGCTTCCAGGCTGTGGGCTGTAGGCTGCTTCTGGGCCTCTGTGGGCCTCTGTAGGCCTCGCTATAGAGATACCTTTTCATATGTATGCGAAATGACAAAGACCGTGCATCTACTGAAGGGCCCTCTAGGCTGAAAGACCCTTTAAGCCTGAAGTGCGCTCTTCTTCTTGCACCGGCCACCGTCAGGTTGTCGGGCCAACCTCGCCGCCACGCAGGCGCGCAGGGTTCGCTCTTTTTCACGGTGCGTCCGGGGAAGCGGATGGCCAGGTATAGCTGCGCCCTGGAAGTAAGTCTCGTGCCATCATGGAGTGACGTTGAAGAATCCTGGTGGGGGTCTGACACGGTGGCAGTGAGCAGGAAGGCGAAATTGAGAAGACAGGAGGGGTTGACCTCTACAGCACTTCACTTGCAGCATCTTGCAGTGCAGTGGTGCCTACGTGTGAAGAGTCAGAGTTCAGCAGGTGGCTGGCGATTGGCATGACTCTTCGCTGCAGCGAGCAGCAAGCCGCCATGGACAAAGCCGTGGAGGCAGCGTTCAGAAAAGAAGAAGCTTCTCAAGAGTGGTGTTCTCTGTTGAGGGGTCGGCCCCCAGGGTTTTTTGAAACCCAGGTGCTCAGAAAACTCTTGGCCGCTGGGGATGACTCCTTGGTGGCACCTGGGCATGCGCTTTGAGTCGCTTGCACTGTCCAGTTCCGATGACTCACGCTGTGCAAAGCTGCTTCAGATCGGCTCTCAAGAGAGATCAAGTGCAAACCAAAGGAGCAATCGCTAAGCCTGAGCCCACTGAAAAACCCAAACGGAAGCCTCAAACGCAAACAAGGCCGAGCAAGGCACCCGAAAGAAGAGCCTACGGCAGGGCTAAGGGTCAGGGGGGCGGGTCAAGCGGTTAGGCCGGGCAGGCAGGAGGTCGGAGAGCGCCCTGGATTGAGGAAAGAAGGTCAAGGAAAACCTGTGACGTCACCAGAGGGATTGCCGCAAAAAAACACAAATCCCTGGGTCTGAGCTGTGTGTCAGGACGGAGCCTGTATGCCATGGGTGGGATCTTTCCATACACCAGAAGCCCATGGACTTCCCAACACACAAAGGCTTCTCTGGAGGATGCAGTTGGGGCTGAAGTGGGTGGAAGGTCTTGGTCCACCTGTCGGACGAGCTGGCTGAGCATCGATCCAGGCCTGCAAAATACGTCCTAATGGGTCCCACGTCTTCCAGATGGAGTTTAGGGTTTAGGGTTTAGGGTTTAGGGCTGAGAGCTGACTTGAAAAGCTGAATCTGTGCAGCCCTGCGACACTTGCCTAAAGACCTCGGAAGTTGCAACTGTCAGACTTTTGCCCAATCATCACTCAGCACTGGACGGCAAGAATGAAGTATCACGGAATTACACTAGGCCACCTTGTTTCATAAATTTGTCATAATATTGTATATCACACGGAATAACACCTTTTCGGAGACCTCGCGCGCATGCGCGCTTGCCATGGCGCTGGCGCCGCACTCACGGAGCTCCTGCACCCGCTGGTTAGCCATCGATACAGATGCAGGTGCACCCAAGGGCGCACCATCCTAAACCCTAAACCCGAAACCCGAAACCCTAAACCCTAAACCCCAAACCCTGAACCCCAAACCCTGACCCCTGAATCCTAAACCCTAAACCAAAAACCCTAAACCCTAAACCCAAACCATGCCCTTCTCAGGTGTTGATGATGCCATCGCAATCTGCATGGCATTGCGGCTGGCCGATCAATCAAACTTCGAGCATCTCAGCAGCGATAGAGCCGAGAAGGAGTTGAGAAGCAACTTGCCAAGTGGTCCTCGGCCACATTCGGCCCCGCACCCGCAGGTTGAAGCTTATCTCGACCTGCTTTGGCAACTGCTCCTTGGAGCAGGTGCGGAGTCGATGTCATGATGGTGACGCGCCCTAGCGTGCTTGTGCATGTGCCCTTGCATCTGCATGTGCTTCAAGGTGACGGTCAACGTGGCGAAGTGCATCGCTGCCGCGAAGCCGACCTGCAGACCGCTGGTCGCCAGCGGCGCTGCGCAGTGCCTTGCGGGCACGGCCGGGCCTCAGAGCTTCTCGGCGCTGTCGACTCTCTGAGTGCTCTTTGCTCTGTGGCATTGCTGCCGCCATGTTGCTTTCGTCATTTGTTGAGGTCGCTGTGCCTGTTTTGCGAGCTTTCGAAACGACCGGCGACCGAAGAAATGGTGGCAACGAGTCACCACCGAAACTTGATGCGGACAATGATAGATGCCCGCTGTGCCGCTTCACGCAACCGCACGCGACTCACCCCACTTCACGCTACACCGTTTCACTCCAGCCGTTAACGCGCTAGCCGCTCACGCTACCAAGAGTTTCTGCTTCGGGCTGCCTGTTTCCAGGAGCAGCTTCATGCTACTGCTTTGGGCGATTCACGCTGCTCGCTTCGTCGATTTGCGCTTCCGAACCTGGCAAATTCACGCTACTTGTGTGTGAATCGCGTGACTGACAGTTGTAAATTCAGGTTGCTTTTCCCCCGTTGAGCAGTTGAGTACTCAACATCCTCTGACTCTGACACATCGAGAGAGGTGTGAACTGTGCATTGTCTTTGGTCGACTGCCCTGTTGCTGTATGCCTGCGGATTTTCCAAAAACCACTTCGACAGCAAGACTATGACCACTCCAAACCCAGCCAGAATTCGCATGAACACCAACACGAACAAGTCAGTCCATTCGTTCGAAGTTGTTATTGAGATTCATCTGAAAATGAAAACTTCGAAGGTGCACCCGAGCTCCTGCTACGAAGTGCCATCGTGAAAGAGTTTTTCAGACCGTTTTTTGGAGTCTGTGCATACATTTGCCAAACTTCTCCGCGTGGCGAGGTTTGGGCATTTCAAAGAAGCACTTGCGGAAAAAAGAAGGCACAAACTTTCTCCACCAAGTTTGGGTTATTTTCCTCTGACGACAAGATCGACATCTAAGTCTGCTGGAAGAAGCCCCTCAGTCACTGAAACTGCTTACTCGTATTGGCCTTGTGGCATCTGCTCACGCTCTATGCTCCTAGCGGCAGCGTTCTTCACAGGTTCCGCGTTTGGGTGAAGGGTCGACATGAGAAAAGCTGGGAGGAGGATGGAGGCGGAGGCGGGCGTCTGACGGGACTGGAAAGGCTTATTGATGGATGTTGTATCGAACCTGCGTTTTCTAGTTGCGCGAAGGAAGGAGCGTTCATGGCCGCGCGAATCCGCCCCTTTGATGGGCAGCGCGAAGCCGCGTTTCCGAGTTGCAAGACTTCGCGCACCACTGTGGAAAAAGTGGCCATGTCACAGCACATTCAGCTGACATGAGGCCATCGATGCCAGACACTTCCATGGCCAGGATGGACTAGGCCCTGGGTGGCTGTTTCTGCGCTTTCCAGCATTGAGTAAAAAAGTTCAAGCAAATGTAGCCACAAGAGGTGACGCGCAGACGCCGGAGCCTCCGAAGGAACTGCTGCCGGCGGAAGGGGCTCCGGGGGCTGTGGCAGAATTGCTGGCGTTGGCCGAGCGGGCTCGGCAAGAGAGTGCCGAGCTGACGCTGGTCACACTAGGCCAGCTCGTTGCAAGAACGTGAGACCATGTGGGAACACGCTAACGGGCTCATTGATGCAGACGTGCGTGGACAAGCTGTGAGGCCCCTTGACAAATCTTGCCCTGGCTCTCCGCGAGAACCCCAAGCTGCCGGAGCTGCTGACGGATGTCTTTGCTGCTCAGTGAGCAGCATCGGTTGACAGCTTGTTGCCTACTGGGCCTACTTGCAAGATTTTGCAAGTGCCATACTATGAGATGAAACGTGAGATACAGTGGGACTAGTTCAGGTCATGGGCTGCTGCGGGAATGGGCGAGGCAACCACGGGCGGGCATGTGCCTCAACAGTTCAGCATTGGTGCAAACGCTGAGCCTCATCTTCGAGCCCATGATCCAATGCCTCCAAGGTGACAGAGTTTAACATTCACGCTGACCCAGAGGCTGCGGCGGAGGTGTTTGCTGCGCGTCTCGCTCATGCTTGGGCTCGTTGGAAGAGTATGCGATGCTCGCAGTGCTCGTAGCGGATGTCCGACTCATTCCGTCTGTGGTCGCTGAGGTCCTGGCAACGTCTGACAGTGGCAAGTTGGGAGCTGACCGTGCTGGCGACGGTGCCGTGGCATCGCTTCGACAGGCATGCAGCCAGAACTGCAGCACAGGCAGCACGAGCTCGCGCACGCTGCGAGGGTCGCATGTTGACTAGCTGCCGCGCCGTTGCGAGCAGGCTGCTGGCCTCCAGCTCCGAGGTGCTGATGGCCATGACCAAACCGAGCATGGCCTCAGCTGCATCATGCTGCAGCCTCTTGCCAGGTGGGTAGATTCATTGCTGCCATTGCAGACCTCCCCTATGCCTCTTGCCAAGCCGGCTCCAAGTTCATGCCGTCTGGAATCCTCTAAACTTTCTGACTGAGAGCCGCGGTCGAGGTTCAAAAACGATCGACGACCTCTGGCAGCCGAGGCCAGCCTGAGAGATGCATCGGCTATTTTGCATTGGCTGTTTGCATTAGCCTCCATCGCTTCATAGCAGGGCCGATAATCCCCTTTCAGGCGTTACGAAAGGCTTAAGAACGAAAGGCGTTCGAAAGGCGTTCGCTACGAGCGCCTCGCCCCATATCAGATCCCAGCTTCGACCGAGGCCAGCTGGGCTGCTGGGCGGGTCTGGCCGCCACTGTTCTGGAGCTCTGCAGCCCGCTGCTGCACAGCTTGGAAGCCTCCGGCCGAACAGGCGCCAGGCATACTGTATTATGCTATAATATGCTTTCGAAGAGGTAAATTTACACGTGCTATATTTGTATGATATTATGTTACATGATATGATCTGATATGATATGACGTGATATGATGTTATATTCCATTGTATTATGTTATATTATGTTATTTGATATCTATTATATTATACTATACGATTATAATATATTAGTGTATCAGTTATGTTATACTACATTATATTATATCATATTACATGATATGATATGATATGCTATTATATTATGTTATGTTGTAATGCATATTCAAAAGTGTTTAGCTCTCAGGACTCTGGCAGCTGCGCTCGTTACCCGGGGCCATCATCTGCGATGCCCCTCGGAGTTTGAGGACCGAGCCATGTGGAGGACTGTTTTTTGCCCTTTTGGAAAGGCAGTGGCAATGGCCATGGTGCTGCGCCCCGAGATAGTCCTGCGAGCAAGCGCCGCGGCCGTAAGAAGCCTCTTCAGACGCTTTTCTTCGTTTCGAACGACTTTTCAGAAGCTTTTTGGCAGTTCAGCTTGGTGCACCTTACAGAAGCCCGGCATGAGGCGAAGTGCACATCGAGGTTGAGCTAGGTGGTGCTCCAGCCTTAGAGAGCGAGTTGAGAGTCGACATGTTCAATGCTTTGGGGGTTAGCCTGGCACTTGGCCTCATGCCTGCGTACCGTCACGCAGGCAATCACACGGGGACAGACGGTGGTGGACCGCTTGCGCTGAATCTTCTTGGCTTTCTGCGAGAGTGGTTGAGAGCAGCTGCTCTGAGCTTCTTATGTCGTACACTGGCACCTGTAAATCCTGCGGGCGCTCCTTCATGTCGGCAGGACTTTGGAACGTGCTTTGATGGTGTCCATCGTGCAAAGCATGTTCGCTGGGTAGACGAGGCGGACTGCCGGGTTGTGACATGGACACCACGGGGCTCTGTTGGCAAATCGCATAAAGATGCAAGTCGCAATGCAAAAGCTCTGTGGGCCTCGGCCACCTGGCTGCAGCATGCGCCCTGTTCCTGTTGGAGCGTCTGTACAAGACATTAAGAAGCCTCTTCTCATTGACCGGGTTCGATTCCATTCCGCTCCCTCAAGCCATCGGCCCCTCAGACAGCAAAGCTCACAGTTTGCCTATGTTTGCCTCAAGATCCCACAATCGGATTTGGTATTCACATACAGACTTGGGAAGTGAAGGTGCAGGATGCCACGTGTCTACCTCCTCGCGCAGCTTTTGGCTCGGATGTCGGGCTAAACGTTGAGCCACACGGAAGCGCCGAACCAGCTAAAGTCACCTTGGCTTTACCTAGATTCACCATTGGCCTCTCCAAGCGGAGGCTAAGCCCGTGCCACCTCGACACACATAATCAAGACGTACTACCATTGTGTGCATGTGTATTCATTTGAATGGACATTCT